GAGTTAGTGCCCGTGTCGAAATTCCAGATTCGGACGAGTCGTTCCCTGGATGCGGGTCATTCGGGTAGAATAGGTTCGAACTGGGGATTCTGCGTTAAAACGTCACTGCATTAGTTTTCTGGCCTCACTCTAATGCCTTAGGTGGACGGAATAAAATGACTCGACGCCTCCTCCACATATATTTATATATGCCTTCTGTTTGTATTCCCACCTAGCCTCTTGCATTTGAAGTGTCATTCAGTCCGGCACCCGCTGCCCCACGATCCCGCAACCCGCCTGCACGTCTTCTGACACGGACGCCGGCCACCAGTAAGTCGTCTCTGTCACAGACACCTTCGCTGGTCTTGACACGTGAAAAGAACTCTTTCCGTCCTGCTCCCAATTCGGCCGTAAGGGCTTCTGTCAATGCAGAAGTCGCATCCGCAACAACATCGGATTTCAAGGTGCCCGGTCCGATTAAGGCCAAACCAGTAGCCGTCGCTTCGAACGGAAAGTGGGTGAGTTGCTTTTTTCCGGATTATGACTATATTCTACTGTGTTCAGCAATCGCTTTATGCGTCTTGGAGTACGTATTCGGTATGGCTATTGATGCTCTTTTGTCGTAGTTTATCGCAATATGTGTTTAACTACTTCTTGTAACATCGTAGACCATTTATTGTCTGCCAGCTTGTAATTCTTCGTCGCATCTAACCTGTACAGCCTCTCATTGTTAGTGGCAATACCTAAGTGTTTTTACACATATTTCTGAATTTGAGCCGCGCCTGGGTATCTTGATGTTCTGTGCTTTAGCTGCATAGCAGCTCCTCCAATGGACTATTCAGGCCTCTGTCTGGATTGTGCCACCTGCAGTCCTTGTTTTTTTCTGACTCCTCAAAGATCTGCCGTGTATGAAATTTTCAATGGGCCTATCTGGTGTTTAAAGGTACCCTTTTTAGTCATCCACCCTGTTCAGATCCCTGAACGGCTGCGTTCCTTCCTGTTCGCAGGGCTCGGTTAATTAAGAGTTCTTGTTGTATAATCAGGCGATTACTGCTTCAGTTAACCCACCGGGGGGCCTCCGGCTGTCCAAAACCCAGTTAAGCGATGACTCTTTGGACAAGGTTCGCCTGAGGCGGTTTAATGCAGCGGTTCTG